TCGGATCACTTCCAACTTATCAATTGAATACTTTAACCGTAGAATATGCAACAATTGCTGGACGTCAAATTGAACAAGACATTGAAGTTTGCTCTCACACTTTGCCTTTTAAATGAATAATAATTAAAAAAAAAAAAAAAACAGTGTTTGAATCTTACAAGATTACATTTTCGTATAAAGTCCTTAAATAAAAGCATATATTTGTGAGTGAATTAATCCTTAGCAATTCAAAAACCATTTAAGTACTAAATCATTACAATTAAATATTAAATAATTTTATAAATAAAACGTTTAAATGAATAATTCATTAGTATTTGTGATATAATAGATGCAATATTATATTCTGATATGCATAAATATTTATATTCTTTAGAGTTTGGTATCAAATATCTATTTATTCATTCAATATTTATTTTGCCTATAGCAATACGTGTAGTTATCTCAAAGAAAAAATAAAAATTATAGCTAAAAAATAACATAACAGATGTGTTCTAATTCATAAAATTAAAATTTTTAACTAATAAAATCAATAATACTTTAAAAAAGTTGGAATATGTAGACTGATCAGTTATTATAATCATATTCATTTATTCAATCCCCCAAGTAATTATCATGCTTTTTTTATAAATTATTTTCCAGTAATAAAATTTTTTTTAAAAAAAATGTAATTTATTTTCTAAGAAATATAATTTATTTTTTAATAACAATTTTTTTTAAAAAAAAATTTTTTTACAGTAATTTATTTTCTAAATAAAAAAAGTAAATATTATGCTTTTTATAACTTATTTTCCAGTAAAAAATTCCAATTTATTTGTATCTTAATTCAGTAATTAGATAATTTTATTAAATGAATTCGAAAAATTTTTTCAATTCAATTTTGCATATTTAAAATTTTGCTATTACTAACACGTTTGTGAATTAGAAGGATAGGAATAAGCAATCCATCAATTAATTTATTTTAATAATATTCCTCCTGCAGAAATATTTTAATGGTCCCGCAAAGAAGGCATTGCTTGCATTAATTCAGTATGCTCGAAATAGCAATTCATACTTTGCTGATTTGCTTAATAGCTCACTAAAGGTATTATTAATATTGTTAATTTTATTATTATTATTAAGTAAACAATCATTTCATAAACCAATGCATGAAAAACATAAAGTAAAACAGGTTCATGTGATCGTGAAAAGGCAAATGTAATATTTCAGTAGCATTATCGAGCTTTCATTCTACACAATGTCGTCATGGAATTATAATTAAAAAATCATTTCAAAATATTTAGGATCAATTTTAAAGCTACTTTATAGGATGATCTATAGGATACTTTATAGGATCAAATAAATCACTTAATATGTCTTTTATTGTTATTTAATATAATGTAATGATAAAAATAGTGGATATGATAACTGGTAAATAATACTGATATGATATAATGATATCGATTACCAAGATTGAACTATTAAGATATGCTCTTGCGTAACTTTTTTAAACAATTTAAACATTTTTCAGAATCCTAGCGAAACCAGAGATGGTGATTTGATTCGTCTGATAATTTCACGATCTGAGATTGATCTTGCGACAATCTCTGAAGCATACATGAAAAGTTATAAGAAAAAATTGATTGAAGACATTAATAAAGAATGCAATGGTTCATATCGTGATTGTCTAATTACTATTATTAAAGGCAATATTCAAAATTCGATTTTAAATTGATTTTTTAGTTTTTGTTTAACATTTAATTTTTTTTATTTCGTTTTTTCTATTAATAATAATGCATTTATGCGATACATTTCAACATTTTAGTTCAAGTGTCTTCAAAATTAATTTTTTTTTTTTTCAAATTGAACTGAAGAGAAAATTATCAAGCAATATTTCCAATCTAATGCGAGCAGAACTTAAATTGGATGGCTGAGAAAACGAAAAAGACGGAAAACATTGGGAAAAATAAAGATTCATAAACTTTTTAAATGTATTATAAAATTATCACAAAATGATTTTTTGATGCATTGCACTGAATAATAAGCGAATAATTTATTCTTTGCTGTTCATTCATTAATAATTTTATTTTTTCTTGTGTTGCAATAAAAAAATTTATTTTTACTTTATTCTTATCTAATAGCCATGTGCACACAGTTTTAAATACATATGACCTCTCCTGCTAGACATCCATCGATTACAAAGACGACTTTTCAGCAGTAAGACAGCCCAAAAATGACTGGATGTATCCTCGATCCAAACATTGGCACCTCACCTCATCGACTACATCTTGGACATCAAAGATGCATTCCCGATGTTCGCCAGAAATTCACCAAATGATGCGCAGTACAGAATGTCAAACCGTCATTGCGATGCAAACTAAACCGCTACTACCAGGCTAAACCAAAAAGAAGTAGCGACATTCCAATGAAAATACTCAAAGTCAACAATTTAAAAAATTATCAGAGCAAAAGGAAGAGACAATTTTCAGGACAACTTCCAAATTTGCAGATTTTCATGCAACACTCTGGCAGCTCACCAAAAATAGTATCCAGCAGTCTTCCGCAGAATGTCTACGGTTCTTATCAAAGCCCAGCGATTGGTTCGATGAAAACAATCCACAGATATCCAGGAAAAGAATTGTTCATCAAATACACCTCGCCAATCCATCCGGTCTTGCAGAAAAACACCTTCTCATTTCATTAGCAGTAAACACTGACAAAAATTTCGGAATGTCAAGAACACTAGATTAGTCTAGTGCAGAAGATTTAATCATGCGTAGATGCCGATACTAGCAGAATATGATTCATAGCAAATTAGGTGAGTATTCCCTTCTTTCTCATGGATTAATCCTATATTCTGAAATAAACATTTCCAGTTGCCTTTCAGTGCTTACTTACTGTTCAGCTAAAAACTCCGTAATTCAGTATACCACTCAACAATCACTGAACAACAATTGAAGTTTGATAAGGTCATTTCAGATCGATGGAAAATTTTACAAGTTTATTGTTTGTTAACTTCGCTAAAACATTTGATATAGTGATTGGAAAAGCTTATCGATAAGGATGTCATTACACATTTCTAAAAATGATCATCATGTTGCACGGCAGTTAAATCAGATCTGGCAATTGACTCTTTTATTTTTCCGATTATAATGAGTATTGATAATTGAAAGAATTGAATGGGAATTGGCAATCGAATTTTTATTTCTATAAAACAAACGCGGGTGTTTGCTAGCACATTTTCATGTGCATTAATTTCAAATTTTAGTGCCACAATTTCACATTGAGGTTTAGAGCTGATGTGTTCTCTGATGCCAGTAATGCGTTGACTGATGACTGAATGTTAACCCACAACCGGACACTTTGCATTCATAAACAAAGGATTTACGATGCGTTTTCATGTGCGTTCTTTACATAGTTCATCCAGCACTAGGGCACTCGTAATTTTCATCATCTGAAAAATTATCTTATGTCAATTTGTAGTTAATTAACGTAGTTTGAAAACTGGTCATAAAAATGTATGTGAAAAGCTGACACCAAAAAATGTTTGTGATAATATATTTCAAACAACTTAGGTAAAAGTTCTTTACTTGTTTTTTCATGCATTTAAACAAGAAGCTTAATTATAAGTTTTTCGATATGATAAGAATAAATCCAGTTCTCGTCTTTTACTATTCCATAATTTCATGTAAAAGTAAGAGCGAAAAAACCTCTTGAGAAAATAATTTTTAAATTTATAAGATTCTTAAGATAGTAGGTACTGTTTATCGCTTTTCATGTTGAAGATAAATCAAAAAGATCTATATCTTTTTGTTAAGGTTGGATAAATGTTCTAGTACTTACTGAATTTTGTACTGCTATACAACGGATGTTTCTCAGCAGATTTTCATTTGCAGGTAGTCAAACATGTTTAAAGTTCTACCAAATTTGTGGAACTAAAGTAGAACTTTTATACAGCTCTTCTCGTGAGACTTCAGATTATGCTTATAGCAGAAAATTTTGCCACAGCTTTTGCACTTAACTTTAGGCTGGTGCATTTCCAGATGACGGCACAATGATGTTTAATGATTGAATGTTCGCTCACAACCGAACATTTTGCATCCATAAATAAAAGGTCTGGGATGCGTTCTCTTGTGAGCTACGTATTCCTTTTGACTCTTCGTTTTTATTTTACACCCAACTCTCATATGACATTCTCTATGACATAAATTGGTTAATTACAATGTGACGATCTTAAAGATTAAAATTTCTTAAAAATTTGCAATAAAGATATAGAAAATTCGAAAATATATCACAGAACATACTTATCAATCAGTTGTAACAAAAATTCGACTGATACAATTCCGCAAATTTTGAAAATTTTAATTGCCAATTCCACTCAGTGACTAGAAAAGTTACAAATTGGAAGATCATCAGACTTTGATTTCACTCTTTGAAATATATATTTGCATTTAAAGAAAAACATAGAAGAAGAAAAATTGCAGTTTTGAGCAAATTTTTAAGGAAGGAAAAGTTTGTTAGAACGTTGTTAGAACTTTGGCTAGGATGATGCTAGCATATCAAGAGCGATATTAATGAAAAAACTGCAGTTTTCTTTTTCTGCCAAAGTTGGTTAATCAGTAATATGTGATATTCAATTTGCGGTATCATTTTACAGTTACTAAAGAAAAATTTTACAAAGATTTATTTGATAGAATAGACTAGATTTATAAAAAAAATTGTAAGATTTCTGTTTCATTCTGATAATAACAATGGAAATGATCATACAACTTCTCATTTATACATCTCTGCTTTGCCTAAATTTTTCTGTTAGACCTGGAATGAAAATTTTTAAGATGTTATCTCATCACATCGAGGAAGTGAAAAGTTCACTGCAGTTTAGCTTAGTAAGAGAATTAATGTTTTTTGCATGCTTTTTTCGCACTGTCAGGATCTTTCGAATTTAATTTTGCAATACAACGATCATCGATGTTTCTTAGAACATTTTCATATGCATTTCAAATAAACAAATATTTTTAAATAATTTAAAGAGAAGTTGCGATACAACACTTCTTGTGAGTTTCCAGATAATTCTTACAGCTAAAAACATTGCCACAATTTCCGCATTTAGGTTTAGGCCTGTGTTTTTCCTGGTGTCTGCTGAACAATGACTGTTGATTGAATGTTAACCCACAACCGGGCACTTTGCATTCATAAATAAAAGGTTTGGGGTGCGTTTTCCTGTGAGCTATGTATTCATTGTGATTCTTCGTTTCCATAGTACACCCAACATAAGGACACACGTAATTTTTCTCATCTGAAAAATTCTCCCTTAAAACGTTTTTTTGCAATTAACATATTATTTGTAGCTAATTAAAGTAATTTGAAAATTAGCAATATCAAAATGTAAATTTTCAGCTGTGATAAGATCAACACATATTTGCTACTTGTGTGTATTATAAGAAAACAAATGACGAGGAACTTCCTATTTGAGGTTAGAAAGATAACGCAGTGTTGATGTTGTTATACTACAAGACGGATATTTTGTAGCATATTTTCATGTGCATACTTTGCAAAATCTGCAAAACTAACGATATTCGGTGCTACAACTCTTCTTGTGACGTTTCAATTTAGCTCCATTGGAAAAACATTCGCCACACTTTTTGCACCGAATTTCAGGTTTATGTTTTTCCTTGTGACAGCTAAATGATGACGCATGATTGAATATTCTCCCACATCCGTGCACTCTGCATTCGTAAATAAAAGGTTTGGGATGCGTTGCCTTATGAATTATATATTCGTTGTAATACTTCGTTTTTACATTGCATGCGGGATAGAGACACTCATAAATTTGCTGTTCTAAAAAATTTTTGTAACTTAAATCCCATTATATCATTTGGTGGTTAAAAAAATAATTTGGAAACCAATAATAAAGACTAATAATAAAAATATTGGTAACATAAAGTAAATTTGCCACTTTAGACGAGAAATTTTATACACATTCGAATACATTTGATTTTTCGTTGTTTTCAACAATGAATTCTCTAATGAGGTTGAAAGATATCGCTGTATTTATTTAGTTTGGTATTACTATATCACAGCACGGATGTATTGCAACACATTTTCAAGTGCATTCCATTTCAGATTGACAAATTTGTTCAAAATATTGAGAAATCTGCAAAACTAACGACATTCGGTGTTGCAACGATTCCTGTGAAGTCTCATTTTAGCTTTATTAGGAAAGTATTTGTCACACTTTTCGCACCGAATTTTAGGTCCATGTTTTCCCTTGTGATTGAATAATGATGACGAATGATTGAATGTTCGCCCACAATCGAACGCTTTGCATTCATAAATAAAAGGTTTGGGGTGTGTTTTTCTGTGAGCCATGTATTCCTTTTTACTCCTCATTTCCATTGTACACCCAATATAGGGACACACGTAATTTTTCTTATCTGAAAAACTCGCGTATGACATTTATTTTTGCAATTAGAGAATTAATTAATGCAATTTGAAAACTGATTATGAAATTAAAGTTGCGAGCATATATTGAGAACTAAGTTTAATGTTACCTGTAATGGAAGGACTTTGTCGAATACATAACTCCGAGTTTTCCGCAATAATGGGATCAGTTTTGATAACGAATTCCTCAATGCTTGCATTTTCATTTTTAAAGAGCTGAGAGGAATCGTTAAAGGTATTAGTATTTAGACCAAGGATTGGCTCTAAATCTATTTCGTCAAGAATATTGAAGCTATCGGAGAAGTACAAGTTATTCGAGAGGATGCTTTTAGTGTCGACATCTGGTAGAGGGACAGTTCCATTCTCAGCCAAAACAATACAAAGCAGAAAGCTGAACCAAATAGTTTGTGTCATTGAAATGAAGAGCAAAATGAAAAACTGAATTTTTACAATGACAGAAATATTCGATTGGAAGCTTTTATTTCACATTGATTGGAATTAAACGACCAAAGGTTCAAACAGTTTTTAATCTGTTCATTTGCTTTATTTTGCATACTTTTTCTCTTACACCCCAATTTTGCTATTTGTACAGTTAAATGAGTTTTTGATTCTCGATGAAAACTAAAAAACTACATGGGTAGTGTCACTAATCCAATTTCAATTATTAATTTGCAAATTTTTGAAATTTCAGCCTCAACAATTGTTGCAATTCCAATATGTATTCATTGCTATTTTTATCGTTTTGAGAAAGAATTTCAATTTGAGCTGAAACTCTGTTTGAAAGCAGTGACAAATAATGAAATATGTCACAAGCGTGCGACGAGGAAACGCATTTGTGAGGCTCCAATTCATCTTATTTTTCATTAATTTCATGAGAATTAATTAAAATCAAGAAGGTAACGATTGAAACAGTCTCAGTATGAGCAATTATTATCAATTTTGTTTATGGTATTTTCTTATCACCATATATTCCAAATGAAAAAGAACTTGGAATTGCAATATTGTGCTTGAATATCGCAGTCATTTCGATTTGATGCTAATTTTGAAATTAAAGCTAAACAGTGGTAACATTTAGGATGGCAGAAATGAAGAAATATTAGCATAAATGATAGTTAGCATCAAATATCGGTGGTTGAATACATTTTTAATCTGTACTATCTGTGTTCTTTGATCCAATATTGTACCAAATAATTTGCATATTGTTGTAAGAACTTCTAGTTTTTAGTCTTCATAGTTTGGTTAACAAGAATATTAGTTCATTTCTGATTAATTCAATTCATTCCGACTATATCCTAGTAATCAAATCAATGGTATTTCGCAGATGTGACTTATTTCTTACTAAACAATCCATACAAAATTAAAGGTGCATTTGCATTCATATCAAAAATAAGATAATGTTATATCATTAATAGGCTTAATAATTGCCTCTTCCAATTTCTGCATGTTGTTGCATTTATGCAAACTATCATTTGTAAATTTGACAAGCACCAGTCGTGCTAATATTTAAAAGAACAAATGCTTTGATGAAAAAAAATTCATATCGACAATAAACTAGTATTAAGTTTTACATTGCATTTTTCTAAGGAACCGTTTTTGTAATTCATAAATTGCTATCAAAATTTGTTGCAGAGAATTTTCACCATCCTACTAAAAAGAAATTGCGACAACCTCCAAAGATATAGGAAAAGTTATAAGAAAAAATTGATTGAAGACATTAATAAAGAATGCAATGGTTCATATCATGATTGTCTAATTACTATTGTTGAAAATAAAATTCAACAGTCGATTTTAGATTTAATTTTTAGCTTTTTTATCATTTAGTTTTCGTGTTCTGACTGTTATTAATTATAATACAAATCTGTGTTGATGAAATTTTTTGAAATTTTATCTACAAAGAGAGATTTTTATTTTGAAACTAGTTCCACTTGTAGAGATAAATATTTGAAGAGTGTTGAACAGTGAAAAAAATAATGAAGAAAAGAACTTGTGTTTTGATTTAATAAATGCTTTCATATTTTATGAAATATTTCATCTTGTTTTAATAATATTATATTATGAATTATAGAATTAACTCTTATCAGTTATATTTCAGATATATTTTGCCGGTTCCTTAATTTAATATTGGTTTTGATTGATCTGCATAGCAATATATTAATACCAATCCTCAGTAAAATCCTCAGGAAGTAAAAATTTTTCTTAAAAAGAAGCAAAGACTGATTTGGTAGAAACAACCAGGAACTTCTGGTAGAGAAGAACTGCTCACCATACACACCTCGCTTAGCCCTTTTGCCATGAAATAAAAGTAGTTTTTCGTCTTGCATGCATTAAATTCTAGCAGAAATCTTGAAACCGATTATTCAAACCGATTATGAAGAATACCTAATAGAAAAGATTCAATTTTTTTACGTAATTGCGCAGAATTCTACGGAGTCCTGAAAATAGCTCTATGGATTCACACATTAGGTTAAAGCTGCCGCATATTCAGTGAAGATGACTAAATGTTTAAAAGAAAAAATAAAACCACTGCTCTAAAAATTTACAGTTTCTCTTCAGTGTCATCCGTTCATTCAAACTCTCAGCAGTTAGTTCTAAGGGAAGCTATTAAAGACAACAATCAGATAACCAAGTTTGATGAGTTGTTAGGAACAAGTTAACAACTATCTCCATTATAAGTTTTCATCATCTTCCTGTATAAGAAGGAAAAATGTTAGACTGCTAAAGCTATAACTCTGCTCTCCATTGTTGGAGAAATACTTTTGAACGGATTGCTACGCGTTATTGCAGAAGAACTTTTACCTTGAGAGTCAATAGAAGCATCACAAACATATCTTACACAATCCTAAATTGAATTGTTTCACACGCTAATCTTTTTTGTTATCTTGTAATATTTATAGATACATTATTGGCTCCTAATAGTTTTTATGTGTATAATTAGTGTATCATTCATTTATTGCTTTTACTTATTTTACTCTATATTTTTGACTACCTACTCAGAATTTTGGCTAACCTATCAAGACAATCTAACTTTCTCGACAAATTTTCTTGGTGTCACGATCTGGGAACTATATTCAGCAATATCAAAAAAATTATACAAAAAAATAGTTACTAGAGTTACGGCAAGTCCAATAATTGGAGTAACATATGCATGTTGAACGACGGCGTTTGGAATAAACAATTGTATTACGACAACACGATATTGTTAAGTAAAAGCAATAAATGAATGATACTTGAGTAATAATTGAGAAAAGAAGAAAACGTTCGGTTCGAAGACTCCAGTTGGATCCCAATAAGCTCCAAAAGAATCCTTCCCTCCTCAATAAGGGTTTATTTAAAGGTAGGAAAATGGAGTGGTTTTGAATAATTAGACATTACAACGTTTAAATGTATACATAAGAGCCAATAGTGTATGTATGTATAAGCATTATAAGATAACAAAAAAGATTAGCATGAAAACAATTCAATTTAGAAGATAGAAATTCGATTATAAGATAAAATGAGATTATTGTGAATGTGAGAACAAAATGTTAAAATTTGATAACATTTTTTATCATATGACTAATAGATTTATTTTATTATTTATTTGGAATATCGTGATATTGAATTCGTGATATCAGTTACAAAGATGCATTTTCTGATCTGTGAAACAAGATTGCTTTCTTGCAGTAATTTCATCCTCAAACGTTTTCAGCATTATACTCTAAAAGTGACAGCAACTTAAATGAAAAAAATGTCATTTATATTCCATATTATACCAAAGGAAACATATTCAATCCCAGACAATTAAGAGAACATGTCAAAATTCTGCGTCATGTAAGATTTAAAGTATTTAAATTGACTGATAATGCAAATGCGCAAATATGCAAATACTATTCCATTTTTTGTTGTGTGAAATACTTCGTTCTATTTGCAACTGCTTGAGAACTGATATGTTTGTGATGCTTCTACGAGCTTTAAAACCCTGTCAGCTCTCAGATAGAAGTTCTTCTGCAATAGCAGGTAGTAATGCGCTCAAAAGTATTCTTGCAGGAATTTTTCCAGTAATGGAAAGCGGAATTATACTTCGTTAATTTCATTTTATAAAAGGAAATGATCACTGCGTAGCGGAGATCTGATCTCACAAGGAACTCATAAAAACTCGACGCATGGACGTCAATTTTGCCTTATTCGTTACTAATTAATTCATTGGATAACTAAAGATGTATTTCCATGTTTATATTAAAAAACAAACAAGTTTATTTATTATGATATTTATGCAAATTATGAGTTGTATATTTTAAGTAGTAACAATTACATTATTTTTTTTTTTTTTTTTAAAGAGACATGGAACTATTTGTTTATTACAGAAATAAATACAAAAAATAAGAAAAAAATCTCAAAAAAAGAATTTCATTAGACAAAGATTATAACAAATATTTTTACAACAAATAATGTAAGAAAAGAAAAAAATGCAAATTATTAAATTTATTTCAGTACAGCATGGAATACATTAAGGTAGCAAATGAAATGAATGGAAAACATATTATTTGTATTAAATAAAGGCAAGAAAGGATATATTGAGATGATACTATTATAAGAGAATATATTAGATAAATGAAAAATGAAATTATAGTTTATAATTTAAGAGATTTATTGCTGGCTATATAAACTGGCCAGGTAATGCATCGTTTTAATCAATGAAGAAAGAATTCTATTTGATTATAAAATCACGATTAATCATAATTATAAATCTTTCTTTCCTTGAAATATTGTTGAAAAGTAACAGTCATAATGAAAAAAAAAATCACTGTAATTTTTGAAAAACTCTTTGTATGTTGAATCTTTGTGTGAGAAGAAAATAGAAATTAGATGTGTCAACAAAAAAAAAAGAAAAAATAATTAAATTAAATCATTCAGACGAAAAATTTTTAGGCTATATATTTACATACAAAATTGTTCTTTCATCTGAATAATAATTCGGTCATCTTATAATATTTTGTGAAATTATTAATTAAATTTATCATTTTGGACACTTTCAAAATTGATTGCTAATCATCATTCATATCATCATTCATAATTATCAAACTGATCATCATTCATAATTATCAAACTTTTTCGCGCTGAAGTAATCTTTGATTATCTAAATTATGCATATCAATCCAGCATTCTTTTTCATTTTTATTATATGGCATACCAGCTGAAGTAAACAAAGGACTGTAATAGATTAGAGCTTTAGTATCATATTTCTGTATATCTTTTTTATCACTTTTTCGAAATAATTTTCCATTTCTCTTCTTATCAAATGACATGAGCTGCTTGTGATAAAGTTGATGAAATGAAATGATAATGGAATAGATAAGTGCAACTGCAATAATACCTGCCATAACTTCTAAGATAACTAGTGTGAGCAAATATATGGTGTAATTTGGGAACTGAAATAAATTTCCGATTATTTTTATAGTATTTTATAATATGTAAGTTTCAAGTGATATTTGCACTTATCAATAATAAGTAACCTAAAAAACAAAAAAACTTACATTTGATACAGTCATAACAATTACATTGCGAATATTATTTGTTTCATTTGCTATATCTGTGATAATTTGCTCCAATTTCGCCGAAAGATAATTTACTTGCGGAAGAGCCTTTTCAAATTCTTTGTCCGTTTGATGCAATGCTTGATGTATTTTTCCCAATGTCCAATGAATATTGCGGACTTCATCATCCGCTGTCATCTATGATTAAATTAAATATTAATTAGTGATCAAAGAATTCTGTATATGAAATAATTGAAATGCAAAATCAAATAAACTTATTGCATAATTCGATCTATGAGAAGCATTTCCAAATTATAAACAACAAGCAAAGTATTTCCACAAATTAATTAATAAAGAATTATTATTACCCTATAAAATTAAATTTTTGTACAATATGATAAAAATGGAAAGATTTTTAGCCTAAAGTCCATAAGACTAACTTAGACAATTTAAAAGACAAAATGAAAAATTAGAAATTTACTACAATTGGAAGTATAGGAAAAACAGAAAATTTTCTTTTTCTAAATTGATTTCAACTTTTGTTTAAAATTACTCATGCAAAAACCATAAGTTGCTTTTCTTTCTAATAAAATTTACTGCTAACAAAAATATTTCAATCACTGATTGTTTCCTTTTTCAAGTCTATCAAAAAATCCAATATTATTGTAATTTGCACTTAATACAATTTCATTTTTTTCAAAGTTTTTAATCATTGATTGTTTCAGTAAGGCTAAAGAAAAATTTATTGAAATCAATAAAGATTAAATAGAAAAATATTTGTCGAAATTTTTTTATGAACACAAGTGATTTTTCACGAACACACTTTTTTTTTTTTTCTAAAATCATTAGCCTAATTTTTCAGATCTATTAGTTCTTTCTAAATTATTGATCTTTGCTAAAATTTAATTGCTGACATATGAGGTAAAATTAATTAGTTATATCTTACCGATAAAAATTGGTCTTGGAAGATTTGAAATGTTTTTTTCACGTAAAATGATTTTCCATCAGTACTAAAATATTTGCAAATCGATCATTTCATTTATTGTTAATCATTTGCCTTTAATCAACTGCGTTAGTAGCAGAGAGAAGTACAATTGAAAGAATTCGTTTTTCCGGAAATGTAGCTCTTTAAGGTAATGGTGTAATTCAACGCTGTTATAATATGGAAAGAATAGGTAAAAATATATTTATTTACAAAATTTTTTTCCTTTCCTTTTTTTTAAAGAAAAAAATAATGAAACACCGGCACTATCATATCATTAACAACAGAAGGCACAATAATTAAATAATCGTTTTCCATTAGAAAAAAAAAATGAGATCATTTTTAAATATGACTAATTGAAACGATTAAATTCATAGTTGTAAGAGAAAGACAAAGACAATGGTAATTTAGATATTCAAATGTTTAGTAATCTAATATATTGTAACATTTATTATCATCTTGGTAAAAAATCTAGTTTTTGAAATGATAACAGTGATAAAGTGCTATTTCCCTACTGTATCAATATATTGCCTATTGCGTCAGTATATTTCTCAAGTTTAAAACCGAATTAAAAAAAGCCACATGGAATAAAAAAAATTGTAATCTCATATGTTCTAGAAAATGTGAGAGAAAAAAAATCTTTTCCCTTAAGATAAACAGATAAACAAGAAATGAAAAAAAAAAATTGTAGTGGAAAAGAGTGAAGAGTGACTAACGATATTTAAAGAGAATAGTAAAAAAAAAAAGTTAAGACATTTATTTTGAAAGAAGAAAAATCAACAAATTAAATATTGATTATAATGTATTCATGATATAAATAATAAATTACGTAAACAACTATTAATTGCTTGTTGATCAAAGTAAATAAACTACAAATAGTAACATATATGGATATACTGAAATTATGATTAGTTATTTATTCTAATTTGAATTTTTAATTGCTACATAAAAATGTAATGTAATTAAGATTATATTTTCTTCCTCGCTATCTACAACTTTCAAGCTTAAATTATTTAAACAGCAATAATTAATTCTATTTGACAAGTTCGTTCATATCATAAATTCTACTAAAATCATAAATTATGATTAAATTTTTTTATGGCTGAATTTTTCATCAAATTTCTAAATTTCAATTACTAAAACAATAATTTTCTTTTGCTAATTATCCAACAGACTTCATATTGACTATCTAACAGAGTAAATGAGACAAAATAATTTTGTAAAATTTCTATCAAACAATCTAAATGTTTTAAACTTGAGCAATACTATTTGTAAATGTTGTTGTAGGAATGTTTGAAGGGTCGGATGTTGTTACTATTGTTGTTGTAAGATACTGGTCATTGTTGAATGATGATGCATAATTGCGATATTGCAATCTATGAGTTCTATCTGGTTGTGGTCCTAAAACTTATTAATATTTATATTTTTTTTAAAATATTTCTTTTCTTTCTCGGCTTTATCTTCGTTTTTTAAACCATTAAATGATGCATGAAAATTTAAAATTTTCTCATTATACCACTCTATATACTTTACTATCAATTTTTGAAATGAATCATTTTTTCTTACACCAGTTTTTTAATTAATCAAACTGTTTTCACTAATTATTTCTATTTATTTTAATATTAATTATTAGAACTAAAAAAAGAAAAAAAAACTTTAACATTATCTTTTTGCAACAAATATAAATTATAGCACATTTTCATAAGTTTTTATTTTATTTTTTATTTAATTTCATTTTTTGGCTGCTGCATTCAATCTCAATACATAAGTAAATCAAATTTTGAATTAAAATTTAAATTATAAAAGAAGAGAAAAAAAAAAAGAAAAATGAAAAATCACAACAGACTTCGTTTTTTAATGTCACCATTAATTTCTCGACCAACTCGTCTCGGTTCATGTTCCATATCCATGGATATTGAGATATGATCTTGTTTGACGACATCATTCGACCCTAATCTATACTGTCCATGACCATAAGAATGACCTGCTTCTTAATGTCATTAATTGTTTTCATTTTTTTCTTTTTTGCTTATTATAAATCAATATTTTTTTTACGAAAAAATTGGAAAATTTATTGAAATTAATGGAAAAATTGTTGTATATGTCACATAAAATATAATTTGTAATTGCTAAATAATTAAGTTATATCATCCTATCATCAAATGAAATTTTCAATGGAATTTTGTGCCAATTATTTACATAGCAATCATTTATTTGGTTAGCTTAGGCTGTTGTAAACAAAATTTTGAATGAAAAGTAAATAAAAAGGAGCTTTTGATGCTATTGCTTCATTTAGCTAATAAAAATAACGCTTGATGCTTGAATTCATTTTAGCAAAATACAGCTTGAAAATATCAAGTGCTTGGAAAAAAAGAAAATTAAAATTCCAGAAATGATTTTTAAGAAAAAAAAATGGAAATTTACATATTACTAACCGAAATCAGAAGTGGAAAGTTTCTTGAACAATTCATACACATCAAAACTTCTTTTTATTGTGCCTAATATTAATGTAACCGATAGTAGCAAAAATACAACAATTATCGTCAAAAGCAACAAATAAAGCAACCAACCGTTTGGTACCTGTAATTAATCTGTAATGTTTAAATTATTAAGTTCAACAATTAAGTTTTTTGAACTTGATAGTAAAATTAGGCTAAATTTAATATGAAAATGCTAAATGTCAAAATCCAAATTTTTAGACCTTTCTGAATTTAATAATGTAATAAATACTGATAGTTACCTGTGATATAGTATTAGCAACGTGAGTTGACATAATTTCTGCATCAATTGCTATGCCTGCTACCGAATGATCGAATGTATCTAATGTTAAATTAATCCTAAAAAAAATAATAAAAAATCAATATAATTTAAGAAAAAAAAGCAATAAAGAAATACTAAAATATATAGCGGTATAAATTAAACGCAGGATAGAGGGAGATGAAGAAAAAAACTTGACCTGGATGCAAGTTGTCCAATTTGTGAATTAATATGACCCACCAGGTTACCTAACTGAGTCAAGGTATAGCTTAGCTCCTCAATTGTCTTATCCACTGACATGATTTTGTCGCTTTTATTTTTGATCAATATTGTTTTTCCATGCTATAAAAATTCTTGAATATAAATTTTAACGAAAAAAATTGAAGTTTTTACCATTGGATTTTTAGTCATAAAATTACCTTTGCTGTCTGTTGCAAATAAATTTGCATTTCATGGCATAATAACCGAATAAAAATTTAATATTAAAAGCAAATGGACACATACATCACTTTAGATGGATATGTCAGATAGACAATATCTGTTATCACAATATGTCATCACAACTTACTTAATTTGACTTAAGAAAAGCAGAAAAACTATTTCAGTATTAGAAGAAAAGGCCAATGATTTACTCTGTCGAAAATAACGTGGAAATTACCTAATTCACGTAACTGAATGAGAGCCATCGATTACTTTATAGAACGATAAATCATCACTTCATTTATAGCGTAGATATTCGAATTTCTAAAATTGATTCAGAATAAAAGTGGTAAATAATTGGAAATGGAAACTGCTGCCAATTCGTATACGTTAAAATGAGATTCGTGAAATCGAAATATTTTCGAAAAAGAAAATCAAAAGTTGAAAATTCTGTTCGCAAAACTTCTTTTCTCTTTACTATTGTCATTTTTACTACTGTCCTCATCACTGTTCTATCATTATTATTATTATTATTATTATTCATTGTTATTATTTATTATTATTATCACTATTGTTAATTGCTGTTATTGAATTATCATTAACTATTACCGGAAAAAAAGAAGAGATTTAACAGAAAACGGTGTACAACTGAATGAAATTACGAAATTATTCACTGATTGTATGTATCACAGAGGAAATTGGAATGTATGTGAATTTTCTATGAAATATTCAGCTAAATAAGCAAATAAATGACGAGTGGATCGAGAGTATAACGATGGACAGAAAATGAGAAAGAAAACTGAATTGGTTTAGATAATAACGGATCATCGAGAGGTGTGTCCGGTGTATGAATTCCTGTGGAAGGTTATACTGAGTGGACAAACAGATGACCGGATAATTCCGGTTGCTGCTCTCATGCAATGTGTTATGACTATTTCACATTTTGATTGTTGGCTAGCAGAAATGATCGATGATAAAGCTTAAAATGTGAAGAGTTGAAATTGATTTTGTTTTAAATCAGATAGCTCAACAGGCTAAACCTTCCTTTGATCTATTCATTATTAATCTTACCTAACAGAAATAATTGCTTTTACCTGACAAAAATGAAATTTGCTAAAATTTGTTAAAAAGAAAGGAAAAGGAAAAAAATATGAAGGAAAGGAAAGAGCGAATGCTTAATCATCCATTATTATGTGATTGTAATTGAATAACTAACATCAACAAATCATCTCACTTTTTTTTTTTTCCTTTTTTACATGTATGTGAATCATTCACTGATAAAATTTATTTTTGAAAAATCGAAAAGATTTGTCTTCTAAAATTTAGTGAAAAGATTTACCTTTTATTTATTTAAAGCATTCAATTCAATTTTTTTTTTTTTTTTTTTAAATTTCAAAACGCAAAACATAAAATTAAGTTTATTGAAAAATGAGCAAAGAAATTGATTCAAGCAATTCAAAATTATGATATATGGATGAATAAAAAAAAGCAATACGTATATTGCATATATATGCAAAACACTGATTTTAAAATCGGTAATTGAAATTTTTTAATAGAAATATCGATTAAGGGTAATGTCCATATTTGAAATCAATTCTTTCATTAAATTATTATATATGATAGAATGGTGATGTTTCCCTCTCCTATTATATATTATCAAATGAAATTACATTATAATCTGTAAAAAAAATCATAATTTTGATATATACTCTTCTTGTTTTTCGAAAAAATACAAAAAGAAAAAAAAATGAAGTTTGTTTATATTTGGATACTAACTCTTGCATAAATTTTTTTTTTTTATAAAAAAGAATGAATCAATTTATAAATCGAAATTACACGAATTTCTTATATTATTAAATGTAATGAGTAATACTTGGTTTCATTTTTTAGAAAATAACAGAATTAATTTTTTGAACGATGAAATTTTGATTGTGAAACGAGACATTTACGTTAACTAACTAAAGTTTTTTGATAATAAAATTTCAACAAGTTTCAGCTTTCAAATTTATTTATGAAGCAGACTGAGGAATTTTATGATTTATTGCTCTAAAAATTGTATAATCCAAAAACTGTTCATGTATTAAATTAAGGTAAAATTTAACTTTAATTTAATCTCTCCAAGAGTAACTATTTGAATAATTGTAGCTTTGCGACATGTTTCTATCAGAACAATTATATCTAAAAAATAATCGTATCACTATACTTAAACGTCACCATGACCTTTGACCGTCTGAAATTCCTAACACTGTGAATTGTGAAGGACTTACATGAGTCATTATGAAAAAAGTCACCGATATATACGAAAATGACAAGTAATATCGAAATTTAAGCAATAAGCGTTTATACTCAGTTAGAGAAAGAAGAGAAAAGATAATATTTACATTTGTTTAATTAACAAAACTTTCCATTTTACAATGCCAAATGAATTGATGAAATATTTTTTGAAGGGGAAATAACAGATAACGATTACATTGTTAAACAAATAATGAAACAGAAGAAGGAGATCCTTGGGATATCAAACGAATGGTGAAATAATTTTTAACCGGAAAATAACCGGATAACGATTATATTGCTACATAAATGAAACGGAAATGGAAAAGCGTCAAAACGGAAATTTGCTTTTTGCTTTCAATGCTTTTTTCAAATAACTGAAGGAAAATCAAACACGATTTACTACATTTATCGTTTTATCTTTCAAAATTTGTAATACTATAACAATAGCATATATCTGTCATTTTAATACTTCTTTTCTCTCCCTCTTTCCCTCTCTGTCTCTCTCTCTCTCTCTCTCTCTCTCTACAATCCTTTAACTGGAAAGAAATGAATGTATTTGATTTGATAACTATATGCATTATTGCCATTTTCAAAGTTTTCATTATTATTTCGTTTTTTTTTCCTTTATTTTGAAAGAAAAATTCTTAAATTATATAAACATTTAAAAATATCATTTAGTTGAAACTTTTTTGTATATATTTTTCTTCCTAGGTTCTTCTTTCTTCCTCTTCCTCTCCTTATTTCTTTTCATCTTCCATCTTTTCTCTGGAAGAAATTTTCAAATTTTAAGTGAATTAAAAGAAAAGTTTGAAATAAAAATTTTTGTAAAATTATTATTATCAGAAATTATCGATTCCTTTCCTCTCTACTCATACACTATCATTTTATTTCTTTTCCCCTAAAAAAAAATGAAAAAAAAAAAAAAAAAAAAACAAAGATATTTGAAATGAGAATCATTGACATAGCAGATAAAAGATTGTTGTAGTAATGAAAATGCAATATTGATTAAATAAAGTAATTCAAGAAATAAAAAATAATAATAATAATAGTGAAAAAAGCATATACTTCATATTAATAAACTGAATTTAAATAATATTTTGCATTTATTTTCATTAATATTTTGTTACTTTAAAAGAAATTTTCCATTTTTTAAAAAATTTCTTTTCTTTCCTACAATCAATTAATCAATTATTTCTCTTTTTTTTATCAAACTCATTTCTATATTTGATAAAATTTTTTTTTCTTTGATTTAGCTACCATCTGGATGACTTTTATATTCATTTATTCTCTTTCTAACATTGAATAAAAGCTGTACTTTACAGCAATATTAGCATTCATACAAAAAGAAGAAAAAAATGAAGGAGAAAGAGGGGAAAAGAAAAAAACGAGAGACAGGAAGAGAGAGAGAGAGAGAGAGAGAGAGAAAAGGAGAAAGACAAATGGAGAGGAAATTTATCAATAAAATTGATCAAAAAGTTAAATGAAAGAGAGAAAAAAAAAGCGCAATATTGATCTATCCTTATAGTTTGCTAAATGTGTAAATGGCAAAGAATGAAATCAATGAATCTTTCTCCCTGTGCATTTCCAGTGATTATAAGCAATAAACTATAATAACAACAATGATAATCATGATAATAATAGTGATTAATAATGGTAATGATAACAATGATTGTTTTCATTTAATTTTTGATTAATTAGCAATAATTTGCTTTCATCGTGTAATGTAAGAGGAGAGAGGGAGAGAGAGAGAGAGAGAATAACATTATTTTAATTAATGATAATGAACAATTATATAGTTATAAAGTGATATGTTCGGATAAATTCAAAATTTAACAATCAAATTTGTTTAGTATTTTTCATCTTTCATATTTATATACATGCTAAGTACAATATTCCTTTGCATAGATCACAATTTGGCTGATTTTTAAGGAAACACTGAAAGAATGAAAATGAAAAGTGTAAACTATAAAAATGGAGAAATCCTGCAATCTGAATTTCCTAAAACACAAAATACTTTGAAAATAAAAACAAAAAGCGATAAAAATGATGCCATCAAATTTTTTTTCTTTTGCAAAACATTTGTAAGCTTTACTTTTCAAACTTTCTAAGCAAAACTTTTGCAAAGTTTTTATTCTCTATATTAGTTGCTCATTCCATTTTACAAATAAATATATTATATTAAAGTCGTTTAAAATAAAAAAAAAAAATTTCAGAACTATCGTTTTCATATATTTTTTTAAGCATATAAATGCAGATAAGAAATTTAAAATGGATATTTTGAAATGTTCGTTAACTAATGTACATAATGTAAATTTGAAATTGGTAAAATGACAGCAAAAAAGAAAAACAAATAAATTTTACTTTTAAAATAAACAAATTCTTTTTAAGATGATTGACTTACTTACTTAAATATTTGGTAAAAAAAGTTAGTGCCTAACGAATACATATTTCATAAGAAAAAATTGTGTTATTAACCATTCTTCATTGTTTGAGGTATATTTGAAGCAAATTTCAGTACCAAAAATATAAAAACTTGTATCTCTTTTTTTTTCATTTCTTCTTTGTAAAATCTTTATAAAATTTTTGCTTTTTTTTTCAACATTTCA